AAACACAGGAAAAACCTGGAATGTTTCCAGGAAAAGTTTTTTTCCTCTACCAAGTCAAGAAATCTGCCTCAATTTCAAAAGAAAAATTCTAACATTTGGACATTATTATTTTGCTGATTTGTCTATCCACCTTTAATATCAACCACTCAAAGTTTAGGAACCTTCCTATGAAAACCAAACTCCCTGAAATAAAAGTGGTAGTAAACGAAAACTCCTCACCTGCACACCAATAAACTAGAAATGTCCATTGCTTGCTAGGTATTTCAGTTTTATGATATTTGAAACATTTGGGGGAAGAGGTCTCATAAATATATAGCACAGTGGAATACTCCAGAGAGCTCACAATCTGACTTCCAACAAAACTGCCTCTGAGACCCCAGCGCAGTGACCAAATGATAAACCATCTGGAAACACCCATTGCTTCTACAGCCATGAGACCGCTCCTTCGACTCCTTTCACCTTCAGATGGGGCTGTTAGTCCTTCCCTACTCTGGGCTTCTGGATACATCTGCTTTACCCCACCCAAAGTCCTCCCCCATTTCTTCTTCTCACTCTTGTCTAGGGTCAGAAATTTAATTAGCAGAACTTTTTAGTCAGCAAAGGAGAAGTGAGAAGGAAAGAGAGAAGGGCTCTGGATTATAAAAGAAAAGGAGGTAAAGAAATCCTTTGCTTACTAGTTTCCAACCACCCCACCCTTCCTTCTCCTTATCACTCCCCAAGCCTTAACAATCTTCTCCAGCAAGCCCAGCCCCCAATTTCCTCATTCTTCTTTAGTCACCTCACCCTTTGCGCAAACCCTGCTGCCTCAGACCTGTGGATCTGTCCTCTGAGATGTCAGGTGCTCACTCCATCCTAGCCAGCACTCCAGACTCAGCCCCAGCCTGCATCACACTGCAGCACACAAAAGGGCCAAGAAAATTCCCCTGGGTGCAGGCTCTGACAGTGAAGATTAATATAACCTGGGGCTAAACTGGGACCTTCACCACCATTTCCAAAACTTTATTCCAGAAATACACTGTCTCTAATTGACATGAGTTTTTAGAATACCAACAAATTTAGAACTGGGGACTCACTACCATTATTCCTAATAAACGATAAGCTGTTGGATTTATGACACATCTATATTTTAAAGACAATGACCCAACCTTGCCAAATGTCTGTTTACTCATCCAGAATTATTATTTTTTTAAATATGTGGCTAGTGATTCTTTGATCTAGCACCCTAGGCAAGACCTAGACTCTCCTCCTCGAAGGCTGAGAAAATGTTAGAGACACTCTGCCAATGACTATAGCATAAAAATCTTATGAAAAAATGGAAATGAACCCTGTTAAGATTTTAGAATTCCAGGCAGCATGTTGGATTTTGGATTAATTATTGCAAGGCACAGGTCTATGTTTACAGCACCCAGACTTCCATACAGGATTCCCATTTGAATCATTTTCCGCTCACCTGAAATATATTCCCTGCATATATTTATTTTATTTTCAGGTGTCCTCCTTATGAAGACTTGGATTTGGCTTTCTCTTGATTATTCAATGTTGTTCACAAAAGGAAAGATCTCCCAGGCAATATTGCTGAATGAAGGCTTTTGATTCAGCTGGCACATTTTAGAAGTCTCAAAATCTGTTTAGGGCTCCCTGCTCCAGGCCTAAACAAAAACCTCTAGGGAAGCAAAATTCAAAAGCAGAGCTCTCTCACCCTTCACCAGGCTGCCTGCAACCTGTCCAAAACCGCCCTCGGTGTCCTGCGGCCTCCAGAAAGACCCCCGCTGTATGAATGAATGCCTGCCCAATTGCACTGGCTGGCAGTGTATACTCACCCCTTCAACCTGGTTCCCCCCAATTCAGCAGCAAGGCCCTAAGCCAGGCCTTGAAATAAGAAGCAAGCCGGTCAAAGAACAAGTTTCAGAAGTGAAGAACCTGTGTCACAGCTAAAGCTAAGCCCTTGAGACTTAAACCCAAGGGTCCACAGGACACTTATCCCAAGGGCCAAACCTCCAATTTCAAGAAAGAAGTTTAGCTCAGCCAAGAGTAACAGTATATGTGGAGAGCAGGTTGGGCTCAGCTGAGTCACTCTGCGAGTACAGAACAGTAGTTTTCAGGTTGTGCTTGAACCTTGATTACTCCATTTTGTAAAGCAGTAGTTTGCCATAAGCTACTCCATTTTGAGTTTAAGTGCTAAGGTGGAATGACCCTACACTTTGTACAAGTGAACAACCCATCATCTGCCTGGCACAATCATAAGGAATAAACTATAAGTAAATTAACTGTGCTAATAAGAATGACCACCCGTGAACTCATGGATGCAAGGATGTATCAAACTCAAATTGGATTAACCAGGCCCGTGACCTTATTGATCACACCAGTCCACCAAATGATACAACTCCCTCATTAGAGACCCACAAACGGATGTTCTTCACATCCTGAGAACAGACATGGTGGCAATGGGACCCTATCACCTAGTCACCCATCACAAGTCTTGCCCAGGAAAATCACCACAGTGACAATCTCCAAATCTCCGTCCTTGGGTTTTGGGAGAGTATGACTTCTCCTGTGGGTGATGACCACATAAGTCCCACTATACTATGAAACTGCCCACCTCCAGATCTTGTCCTAGAATAAGTTCCTGCTTTGACAGCTCTGCACCCTGAGCAAGTTCTGTGGCTGCTTTCTAATCTTGTCTGACCACCTACAGTAACTCTGCTCTCTGCCTTTGCTCCCTTTCAGCCTTCTGAACTCCTATAGCTGCCTTAACCCTTTCTTAGCCTTTCTGTAACCTATAAATGTAAAATTGTGTGAAGTGTAATATGTGACTTGAGTGTTACAGATACTAGAAATTAAGACTGGAATAAAGAAACCTGTGATTGCCAGGCTTATGATTTCCAAGTAACCCACAAGTATTCAGTGAACTACCACTGATGAAAGTGGTGTAGCCTGTTAATTTATTGTTATTCAATTAATTCTGATATTGTGGAAAGGCACAAATGTGTTTGGTCTATGTTAATGACGGAGCACACTCAGGACAGCATATCTTAAAGAAACCAATAAAATTCATGACATACGCACATACACATACGGAAATGCATGTTAAGAGAGGCCAATACCAAAAAAAAATTTGCCCTGTAGAGAAAACATCAAGCAAGAAAAAAGAGAAAAATTTAAAATAGATGGATAATTAACATCAGTTCTCTGTTGAAATATTTATGCCAAGGAAGAAGCTTTTGCCTAGGTACCAATGTGTGGGGAGTAGACTAATGTAAAAGCACAAACAAGCAAAAATGGGGTTAGATGAGAGAAAAATTAAGCAAGGGAGGCGAGGAGCTTTTCACAGGTAAAAGGAGAAAATAGAGGACGACGGGTAAAGAAATCAACACGAGAAAAGCATCTGGAAGTTGAAGCAACTAAAAACACTTTCATGATACACTGACTTGCTTGACAATTCAATGTGTTTGATTCACAAGCTAATGATCCCCCCTCCCCTTTATTAGCCCCCATGTGCTGGGTGGGACAGTCTTCCTATAAAAAGTAACACCTTAGGAGCTGAGTATTTACTCAAAAACCTGATGTTGGTGGCCTAAGAATAATGTGAAGACCTCAAAAGGGTCTGTGCTAGTCAACTTTTTGTCACTATGACCCAAAGACCTAACAAGAACAACTTAGAGGAGAAAAAGTTTATTCTGACCTCTCAGTTCTCAAGGTCTCAGTTCATGATCAGCCAGTTCTTTCCCTCTGGGCTAGAGGTGAGGCAGAACATCATAACAAAAGGGTGTAGTGGAAGAAAGCTGCCCCGCTCCTGGAGGTCAGGAAGCAGAAGGGCAGGAAGGGGTCAGGGGCTACAGGGAAGAAGAACCTTTCTGGGACACACCCCAGTGACCCATTTCTTCCAGCCATACCCCACCTGCCAACAGTTGACCATCAATCAGTCCATTCAAAATAGAATGGGCTGATTAGGTTACAGTTCTCATGACCCTCGTCATCTCACCACTGAATATTCCTGCTTAACACAGGAGCTTTGGGGGGCGGAGGGACACCTCACATCCAAACTAAAACAGTCTGTTTTTTTGTTAAGCACAAATTGAACACTTATTTCCTTTGCCTCTTTTTTATTCGTTTGCTCCTACTGCCATCCCAGGTCTCCTGATCACCTACTGGACTCCTTGCTTGGCCTCATGGAAGATAAAAAGATATGACTAGAACCCTTCATGGAACTTAAAACTGAATGCGGAACATCAGACATACCAATAAAAAAATTATACCATAAGATAGACTCAGGTAAAGGTTATACGCTATAAGAATATCATAGCATAACTGAGGGTTCAGAATGGAAATCACACTTCCCATTAAGTAACTGTAGCTTTATGAAGTCAATGAGCTGAACCATCAAGGTTGGGCACAACTTTAGTAAGAAGGATAAAGTAGGTATTCCAAAGTTAGGAAGTGCATACACAAAAGTGAGAAAGAAAGACTAGTTATGTGTTTCCTGCATTCTCCCTAGGTCTGAGATTGGCAATTAGCCTTCAACAAGCAGAATAAGTAATCCTCAAAGAGCTATAACTTCTGCAAATATAGAGGTTTCATCTCTGAATATGCCCTGACAAGGACATCACAGGTAAATCAATGGATTTCAGTAACTTCAGATTCCCTAAATTTAGCAAATAATCTTCAATGAATTAACCAATTTTCAGCCCTTGGTTCCCTGCTATGACTTCCCTGCTACATCTTCTGAGCTGATGTTTGCAGACTCTAGGAACTCTCTCTTCCAGGCCATCCTGGTAGTACTACATGGTTATTTAAATTCTTTGAATGAGCTACTAAATAAGTTACCCACTACAAACCTGCAACACAAATACCCATTCCTGCTCTATGATATAAGGAGGCTGCACATGGAAATCCATATACTTTCTAGATCAGTCCCTTGCTAAGTGATTTTCCCCACCGCATTCCTACTCATGGGGTTGTTGAAGGTTAACTACAATGATGAGTGCAAAAGTGCAACGTTACCTGAAACGCTGATGTCTGGGTCCAAGTTGCCACTGGCCATCTGGAGCTTCATATGGTTCTTCTACCTCATACACATTTGCATCAGTTTCCTCCCCACTGCAGGAATCCTGCCATTCCAACTCTCGAGTTTTCCCTACAGCCATAATAAATGGCAAATTTTCGTACTCTGGTATTTCCTCATAATGGCGTATATTTTCATATTCTGGAGCACAGCTGTTTGTAAGAGACCTGCAAACCACTTGACATGATGACTCCTTGGAGAGCATTTGGTCGTCCAAAGACTCAGCTCTCAGACCATTAGCTGTGCTGGTCTGGCCCCGTGACTTCTTCCTCTTCTTTTGAGATTCCAGGCTGTAATTATCTGCAGAATATGCCTTGATGGGTTTACTTCTCTTCTCTTCTCCCACCATGAGGTCATGCCAGTCACTTTCAGTCCCTTTCTGCTCCCCACAACTGCCTGTGTGTGTCTCTCCGAGCTGGCTACTCTTGGACCAAAACTTCTGAAAATCACTCTTCATGAAAGAGATGGACAGTTTCATATTGAGCCACTTCTTAAGAGAGGTTTTCTTTGGAGAATCTTTACAAGGCTTAGTGCACCTGTCCATATCCACAGCAGATAATGATTTTGCTCTAGGCTTGGTGAGGGCAGTGGGAGGCTCACTATGTGAGGATGTAGTAACAGACTTTAAGGATTCTGGGTTCCCTAAAAAGGGCAAAATAGGATGAGGTAATTTCCACACAGGCTTTTCTGAAGTTCGTTTAGGCATGTCAAAGGGGGATGACATACCATGGTTTGAGGCACACAAATGATTTCTTTCTAGAACCTTCTCTGAATTTTTTTCTTCATTTGAGGGATATGAACTTTTCTCCACAAGTTCCTCCGAGGCAGCCTTTTTAAGTACTCCTGCAGCAGGCAAGCTGTGTCTTTGAGGTTTTCTGGGGACAATTTTTGAGGAACTTTCCTCTTTTACTATAGATTCCTTTTGCATTTGAGGGATAGACACTTCCAAGTTACAGGCAGTAGGCAGATGTTCATTGTACGTTAATTTGAGTTGCTTTGGCAGGCTCAAAGATAGAGTACTGCATCTTATAAAACTGGTCCCTTGGTCCGTGGCAAGTGCCATGCTAGCACCGTCTACTGATGTACCATCAGAACTCAAATTAGAGTCTGTATCTAAAGAAGGTGCCACTTTTTCAGAGGAAGATGTTTCCTGACACATGGCTTCTGAATTGACTAAATCTTGACTGTCATCGTTGGAGTTGCTATTCAGTTCACTATTATTTCCTGGTTTCACTTTGTCCACCTGTTCTTGGTTACACAAAGCATCCTGATGAAGAATACTGACTTTGTTGTTCTTCAAACTGTCCTCAATAAGACAAGACGAGCTGTTGTTGAAATTCTCTGGTTCTTCAGTACTTTCACTAGGAGTGTCTATATACTTTTGGCGTAACAGGCGAGCAGGACGTGTCTTTCTGGGCTTGGGAGTTGGAAATCTAGGGGTACACGGTACTAAATGAATTTCTAAGGGACCAAGGTCTTCAACTTCTGTTTTCTTACTAACTCCATCTGAAGATATAAAAGTATTCCTTTTACCATTTTCTAGAGCTTCTTGATCAGATGAATGAAAGTGACTATTGCTTTTTTCACTGCTGTCCTGACAAGTTTCAGGACTTTGAAACTCATCCCTCGGAAGCTGTACTTGGCAGTTGTGATGAACAGGAAGTTTTACAAAGCTCGACAGAGAAGGTGATAAATCTGCAAGTTCAATTCTGAATTGTCTGTTGGAATTACAGCCACCATTCCTTTCTGGGTTGTCTGTGGATCTGTGCTTCTTCAGGGAACTTACAGGTGACATCTGTTGTGTTAAAACATCTTTGAGCTTTCCTTCTAGGATGCTTGCCTTTAAAACTACCCCACTCTGGTTCTTGTGTTTTTCACCACGAGAATCCCACCTACTCTTGGTTTTTACAGTCAAAGAGGACTCATCAATTTTACTATTTTGTAAATTTTCTTTCATTTCTAGGGGCTCTAAAACAAGCTGCTTTACATATGAATCTTCTCTATTCCCAAGCTTATGGACACACTCAGACCTGCAGGAACATATTGGTAAAATATAATCACTGCTCTGATCCTCAACATTTTTGCAATTAAAGTTGTCAGTGCTTTCAGGTAATTCCAGTTTATGCTCCTCCAGGTTCACAGAGATTGTTCCTGATGATGACTGCCCAATGTCTCGAACAGGTGAGCTCTTCAGAACTTTCGGTTTCGGTGCGATTGCCGGTTTGGTTTTCTTTGTTGATTGTGGACCACTAGCAATCACAATGTCAGGTTTAGGTGCAACGGGTGGAGGAGACGGCTTATTATTTGCTACCACAAACTTTGGCTTGGGGGCCACTGGTGGCTTCTTGATCTCTAGAAAGAAAAGAGTATAATTAAATCATAAAATAACCAAAGCACGAGACAATAGAGGATTATATTGGATAATACTTTTACTTCTATGAATGTACATGTTAGTAGGCAGATTATATCACATTATGTAGAGTCAACATTACTTTTGAAGATTCCTTAAATTTCTAGTATATGTAGCTTTGGTATGTTGTATATTATTTAGTAGGTCCAATGCAGTTTTTCCTTCAATGTTGACACTAAATAAAATAATTGATTTTTTCTGTTAGAACCTATACACTAGTTTTCAGTTCATTTGCTGAGTGCTAAGAATTAAATTTGCCTACAGAATTCAACTCTTTAAGTTTCTCATACAAATAAGCCATAGTGTCTTTCTACCTTCATTTCATCAAGAATCTTTTTAGACTCTTCAGCAAATAGAAATCCCAAAACAATTTTAAATAAGAATACAGATATCAGAAATTTCTACCCTTAAAAAATGAAAATAAATTCTTTGGTATTATTTAAACTCATAATAAAGCTGACATTTCTCAGTACAGGTGTTACCAGTCGGGCATTTTCATTATATTCCTCTTGGAGCTTTGTTTTTTAAATATCCAGACATCATTTAGAGTCTCTGATGGTAGAGCTTGGACATCTGTATTTCTTCTCTATTTCATACGTGATTATGTTGTTCGTTCTTCTTCTTCTTTTTCTTTTTTAGTTGTAGATGGGCACATACCTTTATTTATTAATTTTTATGGGGTGCTGGGGATCGAACCCAGTGCCTCACACCTGCCAGGCAAGCACTCTGTCACTGAGCCACAATCCCAGCCCTGTTGTTTGTTCTTTGTTAATAACCACTATTCTATTGCATTTAAAAAATGACCACAAGTTCTAGTGCAGCAATTCTTCCTCAACATTCCATATAAAGTATTTAATTATCACCTATTATAAAATGCTGGATTTGTGTAGACCTGTTCCTGGCATATAGGAACTTGATAACAGCTTTACACAAAAGACCTATTAAATAAAAAGGTATATAAAGACTGTATATCTGTATTTCTTAATTTTTTTAAAGATCTCCCACATAAAACTGTCACTTATCAACCATATTTACCCAAGGAAACCTGAGGTGAAACATGTTTTATCTTGTACTTCTTATAATTAAGCCTGTTCCTTTATCAGGATTTAATACTTAATAAAAACCTTACTTATTATGGAAAAAAAATGTTTTCTCAAATATCTGTTGCACAGAACTACTGGACATTGTTAATTTACTTGAACACACAGAGGCTTTGATATTTCATTTTGTGTTGATTTTCTTTTCAACAAAGGAAATTAGTCACAACGTTTGGAAAAATATTACACGGAACTAAGTTTAAAAAAAAAAAGTAGGGTACTCTACTTCCTTTTCCCAACCAGGAAAGAAATTCCCAAACCTCTAATACTATATGCACAACCAAGATTATACAATAACAGGTATCTTCTCACCCAATTTCTTGATATAATATTATCAAAATTAAGGAGGATAATGAATTTTCAAAATAATGAAAAATTCTACAGAGAGGATGGGAATGTGTTTGCAATCCCAGAGACTGGGAGGCTGAAACAAAAGGATCTCATGTTCAAGGACAGCCTAGTCAACTTTGTGAAACCCTGTCTCAAAATAAATATAAAAACGGCTAGGGATATAGCTCTGTGGTAAAGCACCCCCAGGTTTGATCCCTAGTAAAACAAATTCCCAAAGTAGGCAATTTTCATTTATCTGTTCAATAAGCATGTTATTATTCTTGAGGGTTTTTAAGGCAGAAAATAATTTTGCAAAACCCTTCAAAGTCTAGTGATAATGCTGACTGGTCTATTAAACTGTCAATCAATCAAGTTAAATCTTCAGAGAAAGTGTGAATTCCATAGGACTTTTCCCAACCTCCTATCTTAAAAAGAAACAGACTGTCATGTTGATTTCATTTCTGTCATCCTTGAATCATCCTACCTCTGGGATTTTTGAAAGAATTCAAAAAATCATTTTACAAGATGAAAAGAGTTCTGGAGATGAGGCTACCCAACAATGTACTTAACATTTATTTCTGAATTGTATACTTATGAATGATTATGGTGATAAATTTATGTGTATTTTACCACAATTTTAAAAATAATCTCATCTAATTAATCTTTTACTTTTTGACCTTTACAGCCTTGTGAGAAGTTTCAGTGTAATTAACCAACCATTTTTGCTTTTTAGTTGAATCATTCTTTTAAAAAATCTCTGGTACCAATTTCAGTCTTTTCTTTGAGTCTTCTTCCAAGAGACATAAATTCTTATTCTCTCTTGGTGTCATAGAAATTAAATCAACCACATATGAGCTGAGGTTGATTTCCAAAAGTAGAGCTCAGCATTACGCTCCTTAAGCCCTTAATATATACTCACTGAATTAAGCAAATACCTGTGAACGTGGGCTTAGCATTGTTGGTTACCTGTGTATTAAAGGGAGTCAATAATGTAACTCAGGAACTGGCTGACCTAATTGTGTGCTTTTGCAGAACTGGCTGCCTCAGTTTCCCTACTTTTAAGTGGGTAACTTGAAAGATCTATGAAGATTGTACTTCATAGATATCTACTTTGGAGAACGCTGATATGCTGTAGCCTCTTTGTCCCGTGTTATTTTTCTTCAGTACACCTTTGTCTGTCTTTGCCACTAGAAGGCAAGCTCCAGCAGGTTGCTACTTTCTCTTAGCTAACACATAAATATACTCATTATTATATCTCAGTGACAGGAAATTCCTTAAAAAATAATCAATATTCATTTTAACCTCACATGATAGTTTGAAAAGTAAGTAGAATCAACCAATAGGATTAGTGAATAATTCCTTAAAATGGTTAAAAGAAACAAAGGTTCAACTATGTCACTGGTATTGCAATATACAAAATCTTTCATTATTATTTTTTTAATGGCTCTATTTTGAAAGAAACACAACTGGAAGAAACAAGACATTATAATATGGTGTGCCACAATATTAAACTCTTGAAATAAGCGCATAATGTTTGGAAATGAATTCAGCACCTTTGGATTTTAATACAGCATGAACAGTCAACCCCAAAGCTTCTTCAGAGCAATGTAGCAAATCTTTTATTTACACAGCTGTTTGGCTCCAGGGAAATATAAGGTAAGAAAGTGAAACACTAATACAATTTTACTATTACAAACAAATTGTCTTCTGTTACACACAGATGGCTGTGGCTCACTTGCACTCTCTCTTGGCTACTGGATCAGATAAAATGCAAAGCACAGACATTAATGAGACAATAACTTGTACACGTTCAAAAAGATACAAGATATACACCAATAATTACTTCACCCTTTTCACATACTGCTTTGAATAATTCTAAACTCTACTGAGCAACAATTCTTCCATAGATGTAGAAAAGCAAAGCAAGCTCTTCTTCAGGATACATACAACTTGGATGTTCTACAACATTCCGCTATTTTCTTAAATTAAAACAACGCTCCCAAATGCAATAGATTAGATTCAAAACAAACACCCCTGCCTGCAAACTATAAATAACTTCCCTAAAATTTAACTATTATGCCAAAAAAGCACCACGTGCTTGCAGGTTAGCTTATAAGAACAATGTATATGTAGTTTTATAAGGATGGGATAGAATTAAACCCCAGCTCTCTTCCGTAATCTAGACATAATAATAATAATAAATTTTATCAGAGGGTGAGCAAAAAAGTAGCCAATGCTTCTCAGAGAGCCATACCAAAAACCAACTAACTCAGCTATACACAGGAAGTGTTCCTCTTTCAAAAACACCACAAAAATGTCCATGGATTTCTTTAATTCTAAAGTTGATCAAATATAAAAATAGCTTGCAGTACTTTAGGGTAATTCCAATGAAAGAATCATAAACTTTCAGACTGGGCCCTAGAAATCAAGTTTACATATATAAATGTCAAATGCTTCTGTACCTGTTCACTATAAAGTATTAGGACTAAAATTGAACACTGATACTCATATGATGAATATTTTGAATATTTTTGACCCCACAAAGAAGGGAAGAACTATACATGGCTGGAAGGATTGTAAAATTGCTAAGCAC